ACACGGAGCAAGTGCGATCACTTGTCCAGCTCCGTGACCAACGCCAAGAGTTCCTTATCGTAGATCGAATATCTCTGTTGCGTGGGGCTCATGGCTTGGCTGAGGAAGCCGATGGGTTTACCGTCTTGTTCGAGAACTGCTCCGAGTGCATAACCAGAGGCATCTGTGTATAACTCGAAGGGTTTCGTCGTGTCAGGGACTTGTAAGGTAGTGAAGTCGATTAAGCGCTGTTTGAGCTGTCGCACTGCTTGCGTGTGAAGCTCTGTCCATTTGAAACTGACGTCTTTGCGCGTTAGATCAACCAGCGGCCGGGCAACGTCTGCATAGTCCGGTCTCATGAGCATGCGACAGTAGTTTATGGTACCGAGGAACTGGCGCACTTGCGTTTCGTTCTCCAGCACCTCTGGCCACTGCCGGATGGCTGCGATTTTATCTTCTGCGGGTTTGATCCCCGTAGCAGAGACGGTATAACCCAAATAAGTAATTATTTGCCTTGCAAGCTTGCAATTGCGGAATTTTGGGTAGAACTGGTGTCTAGGAAAAATGCTTAGGACTTGTTGCAGAAGAGAAGCGTGCCCAGAGAGATCAGAACTATAGATAAGTACATCATCTAGGTACGCAATAACGCCCTGTCCCAATAAAGGTTGTAAATAGGCATTAATCTTGGCCTGGAACGTAGTGGGAGCACCCTTAAGGCCGAAGGGCATCACGCGGTACTCGAATAGTCCGAGAACAGACCGGAAAGCCGTCTTCCACCGGTCTTCCCTAGCCATACGTATTAAATGGAATCCTGCTTCAAAATCCAAGGTGGAAAAATACTTGGCGCCTCCCAGCAGCTCCAGAATGGTTTGAATGGGAGGTAGTGGAAGATCAGGGGCGATCGTAAGTGCATTTAGAGCCTGGTAATTGACAACCATACGCATCTTCCGCTCCCCGGAGCCATCATCACGTTTGTCCACCATGATCATAGGAGAGCGACTAGGCGAATAGGTCGGTCCGATCCAACCACTGTCCGATAATTTAGCTATCTCCTGTTTGTGGAATATGAGCTGATCTGGGGTCATACGGTATATTGCAGATTTCGCTGGAAGATTTCCAGGCACAAATAGAATATGGTGATCATGAGGGCGCTTCGGCGTTAATCCCTTAGGTAAGGTATCGGGAAAAACCGCTCGATACTCGTGCAACACCTGGGCAACCTCACATGGAATATCCTGCGCCTCTGGCGAAATTATCCATTTGTCGAACAGAGTGTGCTCAAGTTTTGCCATAGGCCAGGGAGACTCCTCGTCACTCTCCGCTGCCACCGAGGAGGTTGAGGCGAAAGGACTACGCCAGCCGGAGGACGTGGGTTGGTTCCCAATTAACGCGCAACAAAGTGCGCCTTGCCATTCATCCGAGAGCCTTAGGGGCACTGCCGAACCGGCTTCGGGCAAAGCCAGTATGAGATGGAAACCGTGCAATGGATCCTTGAGATCCTTTGTGTCAGCCGCCGCCTGACGAACGAGCGACGTTATCTGCGCTTTCGCCTTAGTCTTCGCGTGAGACTTATACCTCCTTGGAGGCGGGCGTAGGAATATAACTGCCTCCTCGGCTGACATACCCACCACTTTTTTTGCCAATATCTCACATGCTTGCTCTGCTGGGGTCCTTGGGTGGACTACAGTGGGACTGTCACCTTGCAGCGTTGCTTCACCAGTCCGAACGACCGGTAACTTGCACCACTGGCCATTCACACAGGTTCGGAGTCTGTCAGACTGAAAATACCAAGCCACCTTGTGTTCCGTCAGCCAATTCAAACCCAAGACTAAGTCATAGGGAACGGGTCCCACTAAAAAGTCCCCGAAAAAACGTGCATGTCCGCACCACAGCGTCAATCCCGTCACAACCCGATCAATGCGTAGTTGTGCACCTGTAGCTACGGTGAACCTATGTTCTTTTGGAAGTCTCCGCACTTTCAGCTGCAGTCATTCGACTGTTTTAGGACTAATGAAACTTCTCGAAGCCCCAGTGTCCAAGAGGGCCTCACAAGGACTCCCTGCGAGCTCAACGCGAAGTACCGCCGTCACACCCACACAACACAACGCTCCCCCTTGGTCGTAAGACTCTTTCGTGCAAGTCTCCCTCCACCAGTGCTGCACAATCTCTGTCGCGTCTGACCTATAGCCGTCTTCTGTTGCCTCTGCAGAGTTCCTGCTGCTATCCGTCGTCGCGTCCGGAGTCTCTTCACTCAGGATCGACGCTGACCCAGACTCCCGCCGCGTTTCCAAAAGCGGCTAAGTCCCTTCTGCGTGCCCATCGCTCGTATTAATTCTTTCCGCAGTGCGGAGGAGTTGGTTTCCCCACTCAAGGGAGACTGGAATGGCATTAGGGCCTGTCGCCACAGCACACATCATCCTTTTGTCATGGCTAGGCAGCCTAGAACGCTCCTCTCCAACCACGCCTAGGCCCGCACGTTTAATCATTCCGTCTTCTCAGTGCTAGGAGGGGTGAGCGCCCTACTGCTCTTGTCCACCGGCTCGGGCCGGCCTCGTTCATACGTAGGGCAGTCCCGCGGAAATGCGACGGCCTGGCGCAACACACAGAGCAACGGAGCATAGTGTCCTACACCGCCACATTTCTTGCATATTTCCCCCGGACGTTTGGTACGTTCCCCTATGCTGGGGCAGAGACGTGCCGGATGTCCGCTACCCTGAAACTCAAAGCAGTTCGCGTGGGTTCCCCCAGGGCGACTTTCAATTTCCTGGCGCCCACGGGGTCCAATAGCTTGGATGGCAGCCCTAATGGCTCGACTGGTCCTTTCTCGGAGTTCCAGCACACTCTGCTTGGGCTCGTAGAGCCGTGTTGCGGCTGTCGCCGCTTGTTCCCACGACTGACACTTCACCTGCCCGTTATTGGTGATTAGAAGATGGAGGTCTGTCGGTAGCCAGGTGCAGTAATAGTACGCGAGTTCGTCGGGGGCAAGACCCAAACCTCGCTCCGCTACAGCCGCAAACCGGTCCGTGTATTCCTTCTGGTTACCATTTCACCGTACTTTAGCCAACTCCGTTAACAATTGACTCTGTGACATTGTTTTGTCAAACCGCTCCAAAAGCCTGCGCTGTACTGTCGCCCAGTCGCTTAGGTCGATAGTTCTCCGTAGATACATCCAATACGTTAGAGCCGGGTCTATAAGTGCATTTCCCCACTCGCGCAGTTCCAATCCCATCTGGGTGTACCGGCGCTCGATGCGCAGCAGAAAGGCCTGCATAGTGCTGCCATCTTCTGGTAGTATGGGAAACGTTGCGCCCGATTCCCTCGTCGCGACTTTAGCAGTTCTTATCACACTAACAGCGGACTGGAATGGGTCCCACGTGACGGAGGGACTGTCCCCTGGCATAACATTGGCCATAGGTATCACTTGCGGGGGCGCCTCCTTATGCCCACGCGGCCGCTCTGCCACGGCGGGCTTCGGAGTCGCGTGGCGATGATGGGCTGGCGTCCCGCTCGCCATTTTGTTGACCGACATTGCCGAAGTCTCCCGCGGTGTGGGGCCGATAACGCGTCCATTGTGGGAATGCATCCCTTACCGAGCGAAGATTTCTAGGCGTGAGTTATTAAAACATAGTATTTCTACTCCCAAGTCCGGAAAGAACAAAGATTTCAATCCCGGAACAGCCTTCAAATGTAGTGCAGAGCGCCTACTGCTGCGACTACGCTGTTACCTGCCCCTCGAGCAGGGCCTGTGATCGGCACCTAACGTAGGCCCATTTCCTTGAAACAGTAGCTTATATTTATCGAAATACAGTAATTCTTAAGTTTTCCAAAATCTGTTGTTGTTCGATTCGCCCCACTCGGGGAGCTCGCCTCCTAGGCCCTGTGGGGTGGAGGCCTGCACTGGTGCCGGCACTATCGCCAGCCCCAGTCTCCATGCATTTTCAGGCACCTCTACCGTATGCATATTAATTCATAGACAAATTGTCTTACTTTGATCCTTGTAGGAGGGTTCTGTCCTCCTCCAGTGTTGCGACCCTTTGTTGGTCGCTAGCTACCTAACGTCTATAGGTCACCAGCAAGCCCCATTGTAGTGCCTGTGCACTACAGGTGTGCCTATCAGCAGGCAACTTATAGAGTTCATTTCGTGTCACTGTTGCTGGCCAACCGAACACACAGCGCTCGAGCTTTGCAGCTGGCTTCTGTTGCCAGATTGCAGAGCTCCCTGTAGCCTTGGCACCAGCTGTGGCTAGTGCTCTGAAATGTCTCTCCTTACCAGCCT